GCCATATTGTGGTTGTCTAAAAACATCATAGTTTCTTGTCACCTTGTGAAAGAAATAAAAAGGCTTATCAGTTATTAAAATGTTTTTTCATCATCGTCATCCTCAAAATTGCAGCTGGACAATCCAGGCTCAAAGTTTGCAAGTTAGGTTCAAATATCTGAAAAACAGATTAAGATGATTGTAACCTGCAGGGTCTGAAAAGAACTATCTGCTAGTGTTTATTCAGCATTTCTGTGTATTCAGGGTTGACAATTTTCTGTAATTCAGAAACTTTTTTGCTGTATAAGAAAAAGTGACCTCAGGTTTTAGTTATACAGTTTTCAAGGTTCAACAGATTTGTGATAACCTTGCTGTACTATTATATAAACTGTGCAACAAACCAGAAGCCAATATTCATTTTCTATAATTTGCCAAGTAATATATTCCAAAATTAATTCTAGCATTATCAGCTACAAATGATGATTCACTGACAGCACTGAAAATATTTTAATTCAGTAGATTTTTTACATTTTCAAATACTCCTCATATAGTTTAACTGATGATCTGAAAATAATGAAACTTGCAATGGATTGTTTCAGTTATCAGAAATATTTTTTTCCTTTGATTTGAGCCATCATTAGCAAGAAGAAAAGAAAAATAAAAGTTGTTCCTTCAGTTGCTGAAGGATCAAATATATTGTTGGCAATAGCTGATACTTTGTCCTACCAAAATGTGTCATTAGAAGTGTGGGTCAATTTTGGAAAATAATAGTATTTAAATCTCTGGCACGTAAAAGTTAGCATGGTAAAGAGTTAAACAGTACCATGGCACACTGTTTTTATAAACTTCTGTACTATCATGTTGTTCTCTCTAATTTTATACCTCTTAGCTGCAAAGAAAGTTCTAGGTTTTATTCTTTATAACTATGCCAGAATTATTCCTGTAGTCCACTCCCCCACCGTTCTTTATCTGATGGTCTGCCACGAACCACTGAGGAAACAGCGTAAGCCTGCTGACATTTATTGCTGTCTTTATTGATCCATGGAAAGCCATTTCTCCAATCATCCTAGAATGAAAAAAGCCTTTCGTTTCTTAGGGATGCAACTGAATTTGTTGATTAAATGTTACCATCACAGTTCTTGTTACGCTCATTATCTTTCACCAACTAAAAATAAAAAATTATACTCGCTCACTGCCTGCTTAGCCTCCTTGTTTAGGGACGCACTAGATCCCGAGTGCTGTGTTCTGTACAAGTAACATGTAGCTTGTGATAAAGATATATAGTACAAAATGATCTTTAGAAATTGAAAGGTTGAATATGCAGGATAATCCGTAACAGAAATTCTACAAGGCAGATGAGAGCTACTCTAGGAATGTGTTTCAAATATTTTTCAGTGGCAGGCAAAGCAATTTCTCTATAAGGCTTGTAGGGTCTTTTGGCTTCAATGGTGCTATATAAATATATTGTTTAGTGTAAAGCCCATAGTACTTGATCTCAAGCAGGAAGGTATTCTGGGGAAAGGAAATGGCCTCCAACTGTTACATCCAAATTATAGCCAAGACTTAAGGGCAAGGTACCAGACCAAACACCTCATGCCATTTATATGGATTAAAGAAAAACACCTTGTATGCCAAGCCAAAAATTTACTGATTGTCTGAACCGTAACAGCTTAATCACAGATTTATTATTAGTCCAGCTGCAATAATACTAACACTTGTCCAAAATATTCAGCTATTACAGCTCATTCTCAGTAACATTAAAACGGATATTTACAGACGCTCTAGCATCTCTCCCTTCTCCTGGTGTTACGGCTCACGCTTGTAGCATCCTAGCACTGATCGTGCTAGTTTTCCTGCGGAGAAAGGGAGAGCGGCTGCAGTGAGTTGCTGCCTCTCTGAGTTCTTCAGTGGGAGGAGTATGGTGTTGATCTTGCTCTTAGATCTGCTTAGGATTATTTTTATATGTGACAAGCACAGCCCACTAGTTCTTTTGTCCACAAATTCGTTGTTATATCCACATTTTGTTTGCATATTTTACATATGTCAGATACTTGTTCTTTGCTCTGTTATCTATAAATATATATTTTTTTCAGTTTTACCTGGCACCCAATCTTGTGTTCCTTAGTGACCAGTAATCAGCCATTTGTGAACTATGTTTATAGCCCTGGGGACTTTGTTGCCTTTTTGTACTTGCACTTTCAAGGCCTCTATTATCTTTGCTTCTGTTTTGGGGAGTCCCTTATAACAATCTCCATTTTTCTTTAATAGCCTTCAAACTGGGATGTCTGACAACATAAGTAATGTTTTATTAGCACAATCTAGTCATCCATATATGCTTGTTCTAGGGTCGTTGCATTATGTCACACTGCAAAGGTAGCAAATTGTTAGAAGATTTGCATGTATATCTGTAGATAAATATAGCTGTAGATAAAATAATAGCTTTGGTAAATACTTGACATCAGTATTTATCAGTTATGTCACTGGTACCACTGTGACACTATGAAAAGTGCTTTACAATACAGCAAATACAGCTCTGATTCAGCTATTGAGAAGTCATTCCCAGTTCTTGGCTGCCACTGGCCTTGTTCTGCAGTCCTGTACAGTAAATCTTAGCACTGAGTCCGGGGGAGTCTCCACTACTTTTGACAAAATATCCATTTCCATTCTCCTCTGAAGGAACTCCTTCAAGTTTCATCAAATTATTCTGAAACCTTGTGTCTACAATCTCTCCAGCAGGTCAGAATAAACCAGTAAATTGTAAAAAGTACTTGATCTCAAGCTGCAAGGTAGTCTGGGGAGAGGCTTTCAATTGTTACACCATACAGTGAAATCCCTTAAGTGCTGGTATCCTCCTTATCTTGCAGGCTGCTGAGCCTACATAAAAATCTCCCTCGTTCCAGTAAAGTCTCCACCTACTGGTGTCTGGGCCGTGAAGGAAGGAGCTGGCTTGCTCCCAGGTTTGAAAACCCAAACTGCACATAACTAGTCGCCTAAACCTTTGTACTGAAGCATACTAGCATCCACATAGAGCAAGCGTTTGCTCTTTTACCTAGCCATTAATAAATAAATCCAGAATCTTCTCTTCCTTGGATGTCATTTCCTTACCTGGATTAAAGTGTGGAAACAGAGGCTTGGAGTGGTAATGTGTTTAGCAGGCAAGATCACAAACATAGGGCTGTACCTATGATTTCTTTTCCAGGCATGCGATTCAATGGGGTCCTAGGACAGTGCAAAAGCAGGTGCCTTTTTTTCCTGGTCCTTAGATTGATTTTGAGCTGGTTGCTTGCTTTTGTTGAACAACTTGATCTCTTTGGGCTGAAATTTACACAGTTTGATCAGCAGCTTCATTACTAAATAATTTCAAGTCTCATTGTGTTCTCCAAGACTGCAGAGCCTATCCAAGTGATATGTTAAGTTGTATGACCCCTCTGCAGATGAAGGTCCCTCGAAGTTGCACGTATAACAAAGCTGCGCAACAGAAATTAACTATTCATGACACACTGGATGTTTATAAGGATGTATAGAAACTACTCTGTATGTGTTGGAGTTGGACTAGATGATCTCTAAAGGTTCTTTCCAACTTCAACCATTCTGTGTGAGTTCTCTATTTCCTCACAAATCACAAAATAAACCTATTATACCTTTTTTTGCTCAAATACATGCTATTTTTCAAGCTGAAGTAAACTTAATCTCAAACAAAAAAAAAATCTGTCACTTTAACAGCTTGGCCTTATGTCAGAAGAGAATAGATATTTTCTGAAATTTCTCAAAAAATTAAAGATTAAGAACCACCAAACTGTTCAAAGCAAAGTTTCAAGTGATTGGGAGAGGGGTTTTTGGTATTTATACAAGTTGTTAGACTATATATTGATTGCACTCTCCATCCATAATACTGCATACACACTGTGTCTTAGTGTTTCAATTTAAATATACACTTCTTACTATTTCGAAACTTGGTTATAGACTGTAGAATAAATCAATGCTTCATCTTACTACAAATTCTTGAATTATTTCCATTGTTTGCCTTAAGCAGTAAGTGCCATTATTTTGAATATTGGTCACTGTTTCCTACCTTCCTGCTCTTCTGTCACTTAATAGAATCATTAGGTTCTTTCTGTGTGTTTATTTTTTATAAAATTTGGTTTTCTTGGCCATCTCCTTGTACGCCTACGAGAGGAATGCTGATATACCTCCTGCCATATGCTAAAATGACTCTGTTATACTATGACTGAATTTGACTGAATGTATTTACTACTTGTTTTATGTAAAAAAATACATATATGTTGTTTAGAAGAGGTTAAGAGTCCAGTAGAATCTAAATGAGACCTATTCTTCTCCTGGTTATATTTCTCTGTGAACCAGATTGTTTCCTTATTAACAGGCTGGAAGCATCATTTGAATAACTTGCACGTGCTCTAATACTGCTGCATAGGATAACAAATGTATATGGTGCCCAATGGCACACAGTGGTTTAATAATCCCACAATTGGATTATTGAGCATTTGCCAAGGACAGCTCTGTTCCAGTGTCAATCTGGGGACAAATCCCCCTATCCTTACCTTAAGGCACCATATAAAATATTGCAGGTTACTGAATTATCAAGTGGTAGTAAGTAGTGAAAGGTAATAAACTTTCTGTTCTTTTAATTCACCCTCTCATGCACAAGTGTCATCAACAACCTGTTTAGCAAAGCTGCGTGTTGTGTTGAGCAGCGAGTAATGTGGCTCATCTCCGGCCTACAGCAGCTGGTCTTCAGTGGCGCTGCACACCATAATTCCCAGTGACTTCTGCAGAAGCAGGGAGTTCTCAGCAGATGCCTGAGATCAACTGCTGGGAGATTAACAGGGGACTGTTACAGATATTATTTCTCCTATTAGTGTGTGAAGGCGAATTTCATGTATAACCACATTACAGCTACCCGGAAAGAGAAATCAAATTCAACAGCAGTGAAGCAGTTGAACCATGCTAGAAGTTTACAAAATTTAAAGAAAAAGTTAATTTGTATTTTCTTTTACCCACAGGTCTACCCACGGATAGCGCCGGCATTTTGGCACTACCTGCGGGTAGAAGTGAGTAGCGGGTATTTGAATACTCCCACATCTTTACTTTACAGTTTACTAGCACTTACTGAACTCCTAATTTGTCCATTGTGCAAAAATAATTAGCTGCCATTGTAGCTGCCATTTACTGTGAATGTAGTCTTGTACTAATCCATATTGTTTTAACTACGATATAATTACTAACCCAAGTCACAAAGATGTGATGTACTTATAAGCAAGACTAAGGACAAAAAATTAGAACCTAAATCAAGGCCATATCATACATTGTGATTATAGCACAATCAAAGTACTGAAATCCATACCTGCACCTCCTTTTCTAAACGCATTTTACATTCATGAGAAGAATGTGGAGCCTTAGTTCTGCTGTATCATTTTTGCAAAGCTTGTGCAACTCGACTTGATACCATTTCTCCCCTCTTTTGTCCCTCAGGAGCATGAGCAGCTCAGCTATTCCTCCACAAGGTCCAAGGCTCCAAGTGTTATCATCACAGGTCTCAAGCCAGCCACCAAGTATATATTTCATATCAGAGTAAGGACGGCAGCAGGATACAGCGGCTATAGCCAGAAGTTTGAATTTGAAACTGGAGATGAAAGTAAGTTTTACTGAAGGGAAAAAAATCAAGTACAATAAAAGTACCATTTAATTCTAAAACAGTCAGGCATTGGGACTTTGAACGGCTAAATCCTTACCGTACACTTACCACAGAATTACCACTGCTGACCACAGACTCACTCAGCCCTGCCCTTCTGGTTTGTCTTTTTTTTCCTTTTTTTTTTTGAGCAACAAGTAGAAATCTGAGGATGCAGCTAAAGGAGTGTTTTCCTGAAGTGCAAGACTTCCTATCCTCCCCCATATCATTTCCTCACTCGAACGCCAGTCTTTTAACATCTGTATGTTTTTTAAGTCCAGCAGCTTCGTGTAAACTCCTAGAACACTGTGACAGTCTTTTCTCTATAGTTTTTAGTGCTCCTGGAATCTAGAAGTAAAATTATGTAAATTTTTATATGTGCTTCCAATCAACCAATAAGCATACTAAACATGCCAGTAAGAAGCAAAAAAACCTAAATATTCCTAAGGAACATATAAAAAGGCTTGACTCATACTCTGAGCAACTTGGTAATGAAATCAGATATTGCCCTCCACATTCAGAGAAACTGCAAACAAGATATTTGCAATCATTTGAGATAAAATTAGAGTAGTAGATACAACACTAAAACACTCATTAATGAAATTACTTTAATTGACCAATTATGTATAGCATGTTTTTCATTAGTGTTTTAGAATTCAAGTTGCTTAAGCTAAAGTAGAGACTCAAAACTCTCTGTAAGTGTTTTCAAGAGCACCCGTGGGTCTGTGTTCATTTTCATTTCTTCTTAGCTTCTGTGTCAAAAATGTTTTAGGGAGAGATTTCCAAGTACTTAACACCTAATTGGATTTTTAAAATTTTCTAGGCCCTTGAGCCGATCAGCTGGAATTGAGCTTAAGCACTTGTGTCCTTGCAAGAATTCTAGTAGATCCTGTCTGCATCTTCTGGTGCAATGCTGTACGGAATCTGGCCTTCAGGCACGCGGGGACATACCTTGTATCAAAAGTAAATGGAATTGGAACCTCTAGGAACCTCATTCAGATCTGTGAAAATGCGACTTACCCATCTAAATCATGAAGACTGTTGTTCCTCTGACATTTCCTTCATTGATAGTGCTAAGGCAACATTTCATGGGAATGAGAGCTTATCTGCTCCTTTCCAGCTCGGCATCTCCTTCTCAGTTACACTAATACAGCTATCTCTTGGGCTGCATGGTGAGCTAGAGCAGGACATTAATCTAATTTTAAAATAACTTTTTACATGGATGGGAACAAGTAACTGAGGGAGCTAGAGATCAAAGAGATGATAATTTTTTAAGCTGACCACTGCTACTGAAACCAATGACTCTGGAACCTTAAACAGTTTTGAAAAACATGTTTGTAGTCCTTTAAGTGAAGTAGTTTAGGCTTGCATCCAGATGACTGAGACAGAGGTGTCATTGTAAATGCTGGTGTGTTATTAATTCATCCTTCCCTAAGAGCTCATTCCAGATATCTGAGGTCGGAAGCAGTTCAAATCCCTGTGGTGTCATAGTACCAAGAAACACCGCTGTTACAATGCTGACTGTGTATGTTGGACTAGCTTCTCTAGCTCTATCGCCATGAAGCAAAGAACAAAAAGAGCTAAGGATAGTGCTCTGTAACACAAGAAAGTTAGTTGAGAAAACTGAGTTGTTCTCCCAACTCACTGGAGGACACTGAGGATGACTAGCAATGGTACATGGTTTAGCCTTCCATGGTAAGACAAAAAACAGGTGATAGATTAATGCGTTTTTTATGATGCTACTGTGAGTTTCTCTCAGAATTTACTTGTAAGCCTTATTAGCACAGCAAAATTAGTATGAGCTGTTATGTTATTCAGTGCTAAAAAGGAAATGGTAAATTATTTCATATGTAATTTATTCATTCAAATTTGTATCCCATTTTGGAGAAGCACTGAATTTTTTGGTATAAAATGATACCATATTCTGTGATGTGTTGTCTGAAAATTCACCAGATAATAATCTGTTGCCCGTGGGTTTCTAAGTAGCTGTCTGCTCACTGCATGGAAACACAAGGTTCCTACAGAAACAGAGCTCTATTGAAGAGAATATGTTTCAAATTTCAACACTCTTAAACATTTATTGGCTCTCAAGTACTTCTAAGCACTTAGCGTGACTCCTGAAAGTGAAACATAAATACCCATTATATAATTGTTATTTGCCAACTTTTATTGCTTAGGCTTGTGCCTGACTAAAATATAATTTATTATAAAAATAAATCTGATTTATCTGATTGAAAGGAAATGTAGGCAGAGGAGTCCTTGTTTATGATCAAGTGAGATGGACGTAGAAAGAAATTTTGCATTTCAATTTAAAATGGTACCTGGAGCTAGATAAAGACTTCAGTTTAATTAAAACGGTAGTTCAAAGAACTGTTACAACTGCGATCTTATTCAAATGTTGCTACAGTACTGCTTTAGATTTCAAAGGGAAAAGAGGGCAAAGTGAGTGCCTGGTGGTAAACATTACTTACTTAAAATGGAAGCAGCCCTCAGTGACCAATCAAGTGGTACTTTGTTACTGTCCAAATATCTTACTTCCTCAAAGCCGTATTTTTAAAGTAGGCCTATTCTAAACTTTAAAGCCATATCAGATGGTTATGATCACTCACTTGAACCCCTTTCAGAATACAGGCCAAACTTCTGTAATCCTGTAACTTTTGCAGCCAGTTTATAACAATGAATTGAAATGTAACATCTCTCATGCACATATACTCTTTGATTTAGAATCTTCCAGTAATGGGGAGCTCACTATATTTATAGATAGATCATTCTAGTGCTCATTATTCAAAGCCTGCACCTTAGCTCTAGCCTGAATTTATTTTTTAGCTTGTATTTTGTACCATTTTCCTGAGAAAATTATTTTATTTGTAGGTCTAAAATTAGCACTTACTAGCTCAACTGGAGCATTGTCTTACGCAGCAGAATAACCAGCACATAGCAACATATTTTTTGTTAACATTGTATTCCAAGATGCCAGCCTACATTTAGATGTAGCATTTGGAGAAAGTTCTATTGAGACCTGGATTGCCTAGCTGTATAACATACACTGATATATACATGTCAGCATGTAAACGATATGTTTCCCTTGCTGTTGTGCACCTGTCTTACAAATCAGTCCAAGTCAAGCTGTGTAGTAGTCTGTCTTCATCATTTACTACTCCAGCAATTTGCGATTTAGCTGAAAATTTTCTAATTTTCTAATATATATCCTTCTCCATTATTCTGAAAGATACCAAATAGTGTTAAACCAAGACAGAATAACATTTACCATTACCTTTTTGTGGCCTCTTTGTGGTTCAGCTACTTTTTGTAGCCAGACTTTAATCAATTTAATATGAGCTAAACTGACTTTTTATGATGTTTTCATCCGAATGCTGGGAAGGACGGAGTCGTAAAAAGTCTATGTTGTTAACAGGAGCTTTATCAACCAATAATCTCATAAAGATAAACAAAACATATTTTAAAAGTAACATGTGCGATAAAAATCATTCTGAGTTGGCATTAGTTACTACCATCTTCAACTCTCTATGCATTATGTATTAGCATTTAGAAAAGAATTCTGCGACCAGTTGCAGGTGAACAACTAAGGTTACTCCATTTACCTGCTTGAATATTGACACAGTCTGTTGACAGGTAGTGGTACAGTGAGCAATCCGTAATTAGGGTTTTTCTTTAAAGAGTTCTAAAGAACCTAGACAAGTTCTAGAAGGTGTGATGGTACAAATGTTGATTCTTAATTTGTAAGAAATGTATAACTAAGTCTTAAAACAAATTGTCTTTGATAGCAGAGTATTGTCATGCTTGCTGCAGTATACTGGCTGAAACGCAGTCTGTGCTGCTCTAGTCACATAGGATAAAATTAGATCTATAATTACTAGGAACACAAAGACATTTTGGGATGATTATTAATGCTGGTGCCTGGAGCAGAAACAAGATCAGCTCTGCAGAAGTAATAAAAAAAGAGTTAATTGCTAGTTGATCATGCAACGCTGAGCTGCTTCCCAGGAAGCACCCTCACTTGCTGGACGCTAGACTGAGGTGCCCATTGCTTAGGGAGTGCGCTGTTGGAGAACTCTTTTCCCTGCTGCAGAGACCAATAAACAAACAAAAAAGTACGGTTTGTACTTCATGGAAGGAAATGAAGTTATCTAAAAGAGTCAGGAAAATTCTCTTTTGAAGGAGGAAGGGATGGATGAACAAGAGCTGTCTGGGGTTTCTTCCACTGTTAAAGCTAAGAGGTTGCTGGTGGGAAATTTCCATGTAACACCTTTGCAAAGCATAGTAACTACTGCTTTTGAGCTTGTTCCTTACTGCCTTTTTATTCAGTCTCCCTTTTTCACCATCTTACAAGCAAAACGCCTCTAGCAAAGCTGACAAGGTTTCATATTCTTCTGCACGCACACTTATGTGCCACTGCTGTGGCTATAAATTGAAGTTTAACCTCACTCTTACTTAGTTCCTGCTTTTGTGTATCAGGAGTGCCAGCTATCTGAGTCATCACAAAAAGCTCCAGTCCTTCCTAGGATAGACTAAAATGTATTCTGACAATAAAAACCTGTTTGTCCCAAGGCAAACATACGGTAATCTCTTACTGTTTTCTCTCTCCCTCTTCATTTCTCTCTCTCTCTTTTTTTAAGTAGCTGTTTACAGAGTACTTTTTTTAATATTTAATGATTCAAAGCATTCTTTTTTTTGGAAGGAATGTTCTTTACTATTTCACCTCAAAGGCCCTTGTGCCTAGAGGAGTTTTGTAAGATACTGAACAATTTATAGCTGTTAGGCAGTGCAGTGTTTTCATGTGCAGGAGTGCACACCTCTAAAACAGAGGATGTTTTACCATGTCAGTCTTCTCAGCAGCAGGAAAAGAGGTGTTTTTTTTCCTTAGATATCAAGATCAGGGCTGCCATGCTTTTGTAGTAGAATGGCTGCATCCTCAGAGCATGTTATTTGGCTTGGGCACCCAT